CATTATAGGTAAAGTACATATCATGTAAGCAAACAGATAAATGAAAAGCGTTTTTGCTGACGAGATCAAGCGGTCATGCGTGCGTTTGCTAATTTTGCTATTTGCTCCATCAGTCATTGTAGACGGCAAACTTTGATTGCTATCCATGTGTTCGTTTCTGTGATTTTCTGCAGAACTGTTTTCTCTTGATTCATAAACTGAAGCTCTACATAAAACTGATCGAATTTTTTGCAGAAGAAGTAAGCTGAAGAAGGTCTGCAAGACCAGGAAAATGACGTAAAATAGAAATGTTTTTAAATTCAGTCGTTTGTGATAGTTACCAAACACACTGAGAAGTGAGCATTCTTTTATATCCTTTTCCTCTGAAAACCAAACCAGAGGAACGACGAAAACAAGCGTTAACGTAATCCACAACCCACAGCACAACTTCACGTAAAACGATTTCCTACACATACTTTTCGGTCGAAAAGGAAATTGAATTTCAATGAACTGAAATATTGTCAACATCAGTATATGATATGGTGAAACATAATACAAGATCATTCCCAAAGTATGCAACGATAAACACAACGTATAGGAAAACTCCATCGGTGTCCTTAGATAGGCAAAAGTGTTAATCAAGAGATAGAGTCCTGAAAACAGGTCAGAAATGGCTATGGACACATAACAAACATTTTTGCTTTCCATGTGGGAACTTTGTCTCCAGAAGGTGAAGGTTACCAGCAGATTCAAGGTTATAACTAGAATTGCTACGACTAAAATGAAGGTGGATATCCAGACAACAAAAAAGCGATCTTCATGTGTATGTCCTCCAGCAGTAGATACTGTATCATTTTGGAATGGTGTCGTCAAAACTTGAGTAGAATTGAAAGCTGGAGAACTGTTTCCAAATCCATTTTCCATTTTGCAGCGAATAAGTAAAGGTTTCTGACAAATATAAAAAAAATACTGTAAATTGTAAATATGTGTCAACACACACATATCAGTATCTATAGGGTATTCAGCCTAAAAAAATCTCTTAATGAAATCTTAAGGTCTGACGACACGTTGCTCGAATATCTGTTTGTACCTCCTCGTGATATACAATAAATAATTATAATTTGTAATGTCTTGTGATTTTTAAACTGTTTTCAAAATGTCTTAGTAGGTGAAGATACCAAGAAAGTGTGATATTGGCAATGTAAGGGATTTCCAAAATGATTATATAGTTAATAGCATCCTTTGGTATTTTGCACAAATGCCTGGTGGGGTACCTTAATTTATGTGAGGAAACTTGTTAAAGTAGCAATATTTTTAATGACAAATTCTTGAAAAATACATACACATGTATATTATTGAGGAACGTGTTATCTGACCTTAAGAAATATTATATCAATAAAAATCGTTACTATATTAATTTGTGTATTGACTTCACAGAATCATTAATTTATAAATAATAGACAAATAAATATATATATTACATGCATAAATCTTTACCTGACTCGTCTACATATTCTCAAATTACACAGCATGAAGTCCTTCCCTTAACAATTCACTACAGAAAATCATTGTTGACTTTCCGGTGTAATATCATTAAAATCCCCTGGGAACAATAATTCCACACAAATGTTCTGATTGGATAGTCAGATGGGTAACATGTAAACGACTGGTCATAGAATATGATTGGTATGGATCTGCCACATATTAGTTAATCACTTAATGATCCTATGTTGTCTATTATTTACTAGTATACCCTGCAGACAGAGGAAAATGTTATTTTCATCAGCATACCTGTCTGATCAGTGGTCAAGATACAGCGAAATGATCGATAAACTGTATAGTTACTTCTTTGCTTAAGCAAACAATTTTTTTCTTCCTGTGTAATCGAACATCGAATTTTAAATTGCTTTTTCTGTTTCCAGCTGAATGGTTTACAAGTTTGACTTGCTGAAAATGCTACGGTACTGATTTTGTTTTGCCATTGATGCTTTTGCTCCCAGTATATATGATGTGATACAATAGAGTGCCATACGACCCCCCCCCCCCCCCTTGATCGTCATCCCTGATGGTGAGACTGACAAGTTCTTGCTCTTTGCTCATCCCCAGCTCAGTCCGTTAAAGTAAGTAGTCAACGCAATGAACTAGATTTATAACAACAAAATTCAAAACCCATAAAAAAGATTCATCTTTGGCATTGGATTTTTTTTCTTTGCAACCTATATAATAGCTGCTATATTGAATGGAGAATGTGTGTGTGTGTGTTATTTTTGGAAGCAATCAGAGACCGGTCCTTCGTTTGAAACAGTGTAAACCGAGGTCCCATGTAACAGTGGGTGTTGGCACGAAAAAAACCCTCACTGCTCAATGGTCAAAGGTGTCGAGTACAGGTATAAATTGACCATCCTTCCAACGTTTTAAATTGGTGAAATCCCAGCTTGAATGAAAATCTCGAAGAATTAAAGTTGTCATAACATACCTGTAACTGCATGGTAAAGAATTACTTCTGATACCTGTATTTTGTTTGTTTGTAACATACAAAGATGTTTTTGTTCACATTCATTGTATCATCCCGAACGCAGTTGAAAAACACATTATGTCACCCTGAACGAAATCATTATATTGTTGTTATTCCACCTACAATGTTTTAATACATTTTATACATACATTGCTTTATTAAATAACAGGCCCTCCCACCCCACGTTCTACGGGCCTAAATAAATTTTAAGTAGGCTTCAATAAAATACCTTTTTCATTTTTCAGGAAAATGCTTCAATCATAACATTGTGTAAATCAAACAATAGACTGAACTTGATATTCACTCATCATTATGTTGCAACTTGTTATGGAAGCCATACTAAGTCATCAAAGGATAAAAGAATCCCTTTCGTGTGCATTTCAAATTCGGAAAATGTTATTTTTATTTTTTGGTTATGTTTTACATGCATAGAGTCAAATCACAAGAAATACAAGATACAGCAATATGTACCGAAGTTCAGGTAATATGTAAATGGGGACAGATCCTCTGATAAGGGAGATAACTTTTCAGCTACAAAATACTAATATTACTCATAGTTTACTTCATAAGAGTTCAATAATTGAGACCACTGAGTAATCAGTTCGATCAAACCTGACCTATGGATGGAAACATTGACTTCTATTTCCTCTTGCCTATACTTTTCAATGTGTTTTATTATTTTTGACAAAAACATTTAAATTCAGTTTTCAACCACTTACAAATTGAATAAGTTCTATCTTTTTAATAAACCATTTCAAAAATGCTTTAATGTACATGTATCAAGTACCATATGTAGAATTGTTATTAGAATTACATTTTGTCCATTGAAAAAATATTTATAAGGAAGATAATTCTTGCTAATGGACGAAATCTTTTCTAACAACCATATATACATATAACATTGTTATTTTCTGGAAGCAGCGCTTTATTATATTTTTCTAATATGAATTTGATAGGTATATGACTAAATGATATTTTTATATTATGTTTTTAATTTAATGTTCTGATAATAAATTATTATTCTTCTAATTCTCTGTGTTAAAATTCATATCATGGTCTGACATAAAAATCATTTCTGAAAAAATACTTCATACTATTTTATGCTATAGCTTTTGATGAAAATCCATGTTGGGAAGATAAAAAAATGTCAAATTTAGAGCAGAGAGTCGTTAGTCCTTAAATGTTTATATTAATTGCCAGTTAAAATGAAAGCTTAAAACATTTATCATCATGCTTTTATTTCCTTAAAACATTAGAAAAAGTACCATAATACCGGAAAAGAGCAGGAACCAAACATACTGGTATAGCAGATTTACTCAAATACATGGTTAGTTGAAGTACCAAAAACATACTGACATGGAAAAAATATCTAATAAGGCATTTTAAAAAGTAAACTTAGATATTGGCAGTCTTAAAGGGGTCTGAACACAGCTGCATTGCTGTTTTTTTTAACAATTGTAAAATTCTATTTTTATTAAAAAATATAACCTCAGTTTAATGAATTGAACTTACGTGAAACCTCTTAAAATCTAATAAGGACATTATTTATAACTTCACGCCAAACAACATACTTAGGCACGTGCTCTGTTATTGTTAATATTTACATTTTACCATGTGTGCAATCTGTACACATCATTGAGCACGGAATGACAATACAAGTGAGTTAGATTTGCTCTCATGTTTCTACTCTGAGTTTTCTGGATTGTACGTGTTTTGATATTGTTCATTAATACACAACAAATTTTCCACTTTTCTTAAATCAAAATTAAAGTTTACTTAGTGAAAGTGCAAGGATGAATGCCAAAATTTAGTTTTAGTTTTTCGGATAAAAGAAGTTTTTTCTTTAATATATAATATTTAATATTTGACATATAAGTCATGATATTATACTAAATATATTTGAAAATATTACCTCAAACCTGTGTCCAAGCCCCTTTAAAGTGCTCAAAAAAGCACTACAATGTAGGTTTGATCCTGTCATTAGTAACACCCTCCAAACACTGATGCAGGGTACCGAAATGTTAATGTATGTTACGTAGATTCCGGTTGTTCGGATGTGACTATATAAACAGCGGTTCAAGAGATGCAGGCGTGAAAGAGATCTTTTACAGTTCATGATCATAGGTGCCTAGTACGTGTACAACTTTGCAGCCTTCTACAGACAATTGGTGGTATCCTAACATGAGTGAAATTTTCTCGAAGGGACGTACACAAGAAACTAAAATAAATTTAATGTCCTAAATATTCTTGTGACGGACTTCCCAATTTCATTTATGCTCGGTTCCCATGAGCAGAGTGTTTTTCTCTGTCTCAGCTCCTTATCTAAGGACCGTTGCTTTTCACTTCAAATAACGGACGAAAGGGACCGATACAATAAATATATACTTGCTGAATATGTTTTCACTTAGCTTTTGGGGACATTTACTTGTATTAACTCATCTACTTAATTTTTTTAGAAAATCACTGCAATAATGTAACAGAGATTGATTGAATATATATATATATATCACTTTGACTCTATTGCTCTTATGAGTTTATTCCAGTTGCAGTCATCGACCGCATTTAAGTATGTAATTGTTTTCAACACTGGATGCATGCCGTTGATGGTTCGACATATTGGAACCACAATTCGCTCCGAGTCTTTGTCTTTCATTCTGAGAACAGCATGAGCTAATTCAAAATTACACTCTGGATAATTTTCAAACTCCTGGCGCAGAATCACAAGTATTTTGGGACAGTTTTGTATAAAAGAGACCCTCTCAAAGAGTTCGTTAGTACCTGGAATCATATCCCTCTCTGCCACAGCACCTTTATATCCGTATGATACCTCAAGGGTTTGCAACAACACGTGACAAACCCAATCCCTATCAGGTGGTGAAAATATGACGTAGAAATCAAAAGGGTATTGCAGACTTCGAGGTTTAACTCGTGGTTCGGGAAAAAATGAGAGTTGTCGTCTGATACCACCACCGCCACATTTTGAACAAACACTTTCAACTTGTTTAAATTTGTCTCGATCATGAATTTGTTTTACATTTTCTTCGACCAAAGTCATCCATTTTTCTATATTTTCAGGCTCCACTGTAGATGTGATAAAATTGGATAAACTCTTTCCATCAACATAAAATGCAGGTTGACTTCTATAATACTTAAAGTAAGCTGTCAATAATGACATTTCTTCTTCAAAATATCTTATGAAGTTTTTCGTTTCATTTTTCAAATCCCCATGTTTTCGTAATTCCACGTCATAGAGGTACGTCATTTCATCTAATAATTTATTCAATTCTTCTTCCGTTTTTTCTGAATTTTCTCTACAACTTTTGTAGAATTGGAGAAGAGTTTCAAATAATAAGCAAAAGCTGTGTGTTGCTTTGTCAGGAGTTTCAACTTCAATTGCTCTCTTGAAACATTCAATGGCTTCTCGCACTTCTCCAATATCGCGCAAAAATTCCCCATATGCACAATGTATTTCTGGTCTTTTTTCTTGCCAAAGGTTTTGGACAGCACGCAAAAAATAATCAGAGGCTTTCAAAAGACAGTCTTGGGCAGTGTCTTGGTCGCTAATTACACACGACTTGTACTTTGAATGATAGGCTTTTGCCAACTCACACCAGTCTGTAGGAATCCCATTCCAGGAACAGGACTTCTCCCAGTCATAAATAGCTTGATCAGTCCTGCCTAGGTTAGACAGTACTTTAGCTCGTAATGTCAGAGAAAACCAGTTTCCTTGGCTATTATCTATAGACAAAGATTGATTTAACTTTGCTAAAGCTTCCTCGTTTCTTTTACTAGACATGAGAAAAATAGCATATCTGTTTAATACTTCATTTGAAGGTTGTAATTCTGAGTGACACTGCGATTCATCAACGGACACACATTGTAGGGCTAATTTAAAACATTTCTCGGGATTTTGCAAATATTGCAATAAATCTAGTTTCTGGAGATGGCGTTTTATATCATCGTCAATGTGTTCTGTAGTTTTAGACAAGAAAATTCCTATATTGACCCATGATGTTGATACGAATTCCTTAGTAAGTCCGCCATTACTTTCGTATTTAATGACCTCTGTAAATAATTGAATCCCTTTCAGGTAACATTCCTTTGCTAAAGTTTCTGTTCCTTTTCTTTTGGGACACTGACGGTACAGACGGCTACACGTTACCCCGAGCCAATACTGTATCTCAGTGATGTACTGATGACGATTACTATTTTCCAGCTTTAACAGACTTTGGCAAAATAGTTCTTTAGGAAGTATGTTCCTATCTAAAATGTCTTTTTCAACATAACAATCAAATAAAAGTGCAAAGGCTTGATCAGCTAGAACTATGCCTTGGCCCTCTGGGTCATTTATCGATACTTTAGATTCATATTGTGATGCTTTAGAGTTTATCTTCAGTCTCTGATAAACGAACGCAAGATTTGCAGAAGCAGTTAGTGATTTTGAATCTCTATTAAGAACTTCTTGAAATGTTTTGACAGCCTTTGAAAACTGACTATCATAAAAATAGAAAGTTCCAAGCAAGTTTCTAGATGCTTGGCGAGTGAATCCCTCTGGGAAATCTCGAATGAGTTTCTCTGCCACTTTGATCCTATGTGTTAACTGGTGAGCTGGTGGATTTTGTGATGCACTCAATGTTATGTGGAAAAGGCCTGGCCTCTCTCCACACTTTTTCCACATGGCTTTAGTGTTAGGTTCTTCGACTGAAAAAGATAATTGGTCTTCATATTTCAATTTACAATGTGCATTTTATGTCACTTAGCTTGTGGCACCTGTCATCAGGTAAACTACTGCGTTCGGTCTTCGCCCGTTGTCTACCGTGTTTTTTAAGTAATGTAACATTTTTTCCCCTTTTCAGTAGAATCAATGGGCGAATTTCAATCAAACCGTCCGCAAACCAGCGTCTTGGGCCTTGACATTCACGTTATGTAAAAGGACCAGAGATAGATAATTAACATAAATAGGATAGGGTCATTTCAAAATCTTAAAAATCTCTCAAACTTCTACATGAGAAGAAGAAAACACTTGTGGTTTTCCACTCGACGTTTAGATATAACGACGACTCGATATATCCCAGGGAACTTGAAATAAAAGTTACCACAAGTCTGACACACATCTGTTTCATATTTATATATTTTACTAGAAAAGGACGTTAATGGTAACCTTACGACAAAACTTAATGATAAATGTAATGACTTCGATTTTTCTATCGTCAAATTCCCTTATATTTAAATATGTAGCAATATACGTGTACCCTTATCACCTGCATATGGAGTTTATATCTCCCAGTTGATCTCATACGCAAAAACATACTCCACGTAGGAACAATTTCTAAACCGAAGCAAGCTATTGACAAATAAGTTGAAAACAAGGATATCAACAGTTTCGTTTGATGCCAACATATCACAAGTTCTACATAATGGTCGATACGATGACATTGTCAGCAAGTACAATCTATCATTTTAGTCAAATGCTTATTGACGTTTTTCATACTAATTGTTAGGCCATTATTTACACACTGAATTGTCTACGGATTTTTACTATTTCCCCATCATGACAAAGAGCGCGGCTGTGACCGGTCGACTGGAGATGCTTATTTCTCCATTGCACTTGATCCCACCTCAATCTGATTAAAATCAGATCCTTTGATCCGCTCACATAGATCTGTAGCGATCTATGTGAACGGATCAAAGGATCTGATTTTAATCAGATTGATCCCACCTCTATGCTTTTAGAAGTCCATGTTTGCTCTGCTCCCGATGTATTATTTTAATGGACTTTTAAGCTTAATTACTATTTGTCCATTTTTCATGAAGAACCACCTATCTGGAAATGACAGTATTTTGTGACAGCATCTTTGTTTATTGAAGAATTTCAAAAAAAAAAAAACAAAACAGTATCCCATGGTCAGTGATTCGGCCACGGACTATGTCCAGAGTATTCGATTCAAGTGTACAGGATTTTTTTATTAAAATCTTCTCGAAATACTTAGTTACAATTTGTGCATACCTGTGTTTATGATGTACTTATACCAACCCTTAAGTTAAAAAAAAAAGATTACCTTTTATCAAAGAACTCATACCTAGTTACCTAATTACTTTATTTAATGACCATGTGTAAAGATGTTTAAAGTATAAGAATTTTGTACAAACTGTATATCAACCATCCTGGGACCTGAACCCGGGGGGGGGGGGGGTATCAAACTTGTGTTAAATATGTAATATGTCTTTAAAGTTATTTAATTAGTGTACCTGCTAGATAAGTAATGGAAAATATCAAAGTTATAAGGTAACGCACTATGTGATTATTTCGTCCGCTCTGGTATTAAATTTTTTAGGACATGAATTTCACTGCTCATCATTATCCAAGCAGTTTGCCTAAAATGTCCAGGAGTGGAGAAGATTTTCCAAAGCTGTAATGTACTAGTATTTTCAAAATATAATCAGCTTAGTACTACTCAAACCATGGGCCCGAATCTTAGGCCAAAGAATATGACTTTCGATTTTGCATATTGCTAAAAATAATCATGCACATTGATTGTCAGCTAAATATCCATGAGGTTAAGAGATTTTAAAAAGTCTGGGTCTCTAGGAACAGAACCCTAGACCCGGACATGGATTTCACAGTGTTAGTTTAATTGCATATTAGAATCATGCAAACAGTTTACCAGCGTCATGGCATTACTAAAGAAATTAACTAAGTTAGTTAAGCACTGAGCCCTAGAAACAAGTGACATGCTTTACATAATTTTAGTGGAAGGTTTACCTGTCACTTTACCATGCAGTTATGCCTAATTAGATGGTCATGAGTAAAGAAAGTTAATGAATTTTTAATATATGAACAATTAACTAGCCTCAATCTAGGACCTTAGCCTTCGACCTATGGAACATCAAAACTTCGAGGAAAAAAAATTCTACAAACCTACAAATTTGTCAAACTTATTTTCTTGCATGTTACAATGTATGAAATCAATTTGTTCTAATCCTGGAAATGTTGAACTCACAATTTAAGAAAAATGCTTAGAAAAAAAATCTGTGGAAACTTCTGAAAGATTAGAATGCTACAATTGTCAAAAATGAGCAAGATAGTTATGTGGTGTATATTCGAGTCTGTTCAAATAATGCACCTTAATTAGGGTAGAGATGAGACTATCAGGATTCATTTCTCTTTTTTTCTGTCCGTCGGTGGCGTTAACATTTTCTTATCTGGAACAACTGAAGCAATTTCAACCAATTTTGGCATATAGCATCTATGGGTGAGGGGGAGTAAAATTTGGGAAATTAATGGCCCCTGCCCCCTGGGTCCTGAAAGGTGGGGCTAGAACCATCAAAATCAATGCTATCTTTAAAAATATTCCTCTTTACTCCTGGACAATCAAGCAGTCAAACTGTTGGTATGATTGTAATAAGAATTGAGCCCTTATACCAAACTTCATGACCCCAGGGTCAGGGTTTCTGGTGCTAGGGCGGGGCTATCTTGAATATATAATGAAAATGCATTATTTCTTTGAAAACCTTCTCTGCCCCTGGGCATTAAGCCGATGAACTAAGTGCACAGTCATGATGAGGAAGGGTGCGTCTTCCAAAACTGTGAAATTCATGGCCCCTGGGTCAGGGGTTCTGGTGTTAGGCGGGGTTCTAGTGATTAAATAGCAAAAATGTATTCATTCTTTGAAAATTTTCTCCTCTGCTCCTGGGTTTTAAGCTGGTGAACTAAATATATAGTTATGATGAAGAAGGTGCCCCTTCCCAAATTGTGAATTTCATGGCCTCTGGTTCAGGGGTTTTTGTGTTGGGGCAGGGTTTTATTGATTAAATAGTGAAAATGTAGTCATTACTTTGAAAATCTTCTCTGCTTCTGGGTATTAAGCTGATGAACTAAGTACAAAGATATGATGAGAAATGGTGCATCGTCCAAAACTGTTAATTTCATGACTCCTGTGTCAGGGGTTCTGGTGTTTGAGCGGGGCTCTATTGATTACATGGTAGAAATGAATTCATCCTTTGAAAATATTCTCCTCTGTCCCTGAGCATTTAAGCAGACTAAATGCAATAATATAAATGTAAAAGTATAAATATAAGTAAATGTGCCTTTCTTTGCTCCTCTGTATCTAGGAGGCAAACAGAGTTAAAAATTGTAATGAGTGCAGCAAATGAGTTACTCTCATTATTTATGTTGCAAAAGGACCAATTGTACTTAGTATGTGTATACTGTAGAGTTCTGTTGGATAACTGACGACTTCTTGCCAGGTAAACTCATGGAGATCAGTTGGCAAGAGACTGCAAAAAGTTATTATACATGTATACTTTAGCAAAAAGAACAAGTGAACAGAGAGTGACTAGGGGACATGTTATAGTTACTGACAAGTGGCAAATAGACATGTTGAATTCTAAGCCAAGTGGAGAGTGCTGGTAACAAGTACAGTCAAACCGCATTAACTCGAAATCGATGGGACCAAGAAAAACTTAAAGATATCAGGGGTACAATACTTAAAGAATAAGCGGTAAGGACTTTCAAATCACGTCGACATATCCCTGGTATTCGAGATATCAGTGTTGGAGACACCGAAGTTAAACTGTATTACAAAACTATTTGTATAGCCAAGAGGCAATTGCTGGTACCAAATTACCTGTTGGAAAGCACCTAAGTTGTTTGTGTAGTCTAGAGGCATCACCTCGAGTAAATATACAGTCATTAGAGATTTTCTTTGGATACTTAATTGTGGCACTGGACAAGTGACAAAAACATATCTGTATATATGGAATATCGCACACACTAGGGAAGTGTTCAATGTAGATGTACTTGAATATTTTGCATTCATTTATAATCCCTGTAAGACCCGGGAAAACCAACCACGATCCCAAGCAGATCACTCGTGTCTTGCACGTTACAATAAGCACGCCTTAAGGGTATTTTTTATCAGAATTTTGAAATTCTTGGGCAACATAGCTTCATATTTCAGTTAATTTTATTTTATACTTCTATGAATCCTTTACCGTTACGGTAGTTCAGTCGGTAGAACGCTCGCTCCATGATCGAAGGTGGTGTGTTTGAATCATGGCCGCGACTGAGCCAAGTCGATAAAAAATAGGTAGCAACTGTTCCTTCACTTTGAAGTGAAAGTGTGGGTCTTTCGGATGAGACCTTAAAAACCGAGGCCCCTTGTCACGGTAGGCGTTGGCACGATAAAGAACCTCCACTGCTCAATGGCCCTTAGTGTCGAGTAAAGATCTAAATCTAATGCCCATCAGTGGTATATAGTGACGTCTCTAAATGTGAAAAATTCTCGAAGGGGAAGTAAAACAACATATGATCGATCAATCAATCTATGGATCGATTACACTGTTGTATAATACTCAGGTGACCATTTAGGCCCTTGGGCCCTTGTTTGAACATATAGTTGTATATATGAAAACTTCTCTAAATATTGTTAAATTTAATTGCAAATGAAATATTTATGATTTCCCACAGGGCAGGACAGGGTGTAGGGACACAGGAAGGGTCCATCTTGAACAAAGAATCTTTTAAATTCTTTTTTTTTTAACAAGAAAACGGGACTTCAAATTCATATACAGACATCTTTACTCAGAATCTAGTTTGGGGGGATTTCTTTATATGGTATTATGTACCTTCGTACATAAAATTATTTCAAAATCAAAATTAAGTATTTTTATGGGCAGGGAATTAAAATGAGTTATTTAATTCCTGATAATTACCTTCAAAATATTTTCCCGAGCTACTTGATAAATCCATTTTCAGGAAAGAAACAACAGTTTGACTGTTGACTTCTCGGCTGCTGCTCTAAAAACTGTCCGCTAACTGTGAAACTGGAAAGTAATATGACTCACTACAGTATACTCGACATGTACATGTATACACATGTAAGGCAGATAAATTTATATTTCTTACCTTATCTTATGCAGCAGCAGTAGTGCAGTATCTATGTGCATATCAAAGTTGTAAAGACAATGAAATATTAAGGGTGCCAGGAAATCAAACTCATGTTGAAAAATTTTTCACAGTCACTGAATTTTATCATGAAATGTTTTCCTTCCTACGTGAACTGCTATTGTCGGAAGTTGTGTGTATTATACAGCTATAAAAACACTTTGACTGAAAAAATTTAAAGTAAAATCAGGAAACGGAAATGAAACTTCGAAAAGCTTTCAGTTTAAAGTCAATAATGATAAATAATACATATACATTTACCTGTATATACTAGCCTATAAAGATTTTTTTAAAAGTAAATTAGATTTTGATTCAAAACTCTATGTCCGATTTATTGGCGAGTCCTTTTCTGGACGGGAAAATGTAGGGATTTGAGGGGGCTTATCATTCGGAACATCGCTCGGCCTTTTCCGTCGAGAAAAAATTCGACTTGACGGAAAGGGTCGAAAGATATTCCGATTTGGGGCTTATAACTCTTCAACAAAAACATGGAAGACATAAAACGAAATGTTAGCTGTTTGATTTGTTGAGAAGAAAATGTTTAATATCGATGGTTATATCCAAAGTTAGTGTATAGCGGGTTTCTTTAGTGGGTGTAAAATTTGACGTTTTGTGTGCTCAAACGTATGCCAATAATTTGGCGGTACTTGTTTTGGCGAACGCACAGTTCCTTGACTGTAAAGTAGAGGAAGTTCTCCTTCTGGATGCGTTTTCAGTTCCTTTAATATACACATTAATACTGATTTAGGCAAGATTTTGAGTAAAAACCAACATCAGATGAGAGAGATATAATTTGACAACAGACTGAACAAAGTTATACTTCTTGTATTCAGTACTTACACGCAAGGGTACAAATTAAACGATTAAGATTTTAGCGGGCTTCTTCAAAACCGCTTAAATAAGTCAAAGTTAGCACCCCGCTAAAAATTCCCGCTATACGGTATTATTTGAACTCAGGAAAAAGGGTATTGACATAAGATTAATTTGTTTAGAATAAACAGTTGGATATTGGTGTCAATTCCTAAAATATTATTTGAAACACGAGTAAAAGGATTAGAGCATTGATCTGAAATATTATTGTCAACTGGTTCTATAAAAAAAAAATACCAACTTATGAAAGGGTCACTGGCAATACTTACCAAAATAACCTTAAAAAATAAGCGGACGGACTTGGTACCTGATACACGAAAGAGAGAGAAGAGAGAGAATATCATGGAAATTTTCTTGCATTTACCATGAAAGAACCTAAAAATTTGAAAAGAAAAGAAATTAATTCATTCTCTATAATAGAAATTTTTCTAAAAAGCAGAGCTACTTTTGGATAGTGTACAAAATAATAAATAAATGAACTTTACAAAATTTGAAATTTTGATACCTACTAAGCAATAAATAAATAAATTTGCCAACATATAAAATTTTGGATACCTTCCGAACATTAGTCTTTCGATTCCTTAATTCCTTAATTTGTGTGCAAATTTTGACACACAAAACAGAGATTCCTTATAGCACAGGTTCCATTGAGTTCTTTCAATGATTTGTTGAGTAAAGCTTATTTCATGTTCAAGGATCTGTTGAGGGGATGCATTGTTACAACGCGAAATTGAATAACAACACAAAATGTAAGAAACTGAGATTGTTACAATGTGCAACAACCCATTTTTCATTTTGCGTCGTGATCAACGCAGAATGTAATAACGCAAAATGTAATCGCACGGTTTTTGGATTATTACATTTTGCGTCGAGATTAATGCAACATAGAAAATATCCATGTTTTGTTGGAGAGAGAGAGCATATTATTTTTGCTGGTCTGCAGTGCACGTGATTTGTAAAACAGTAGGAAGAATGGACGTAGACATATTTACAATGCTAAAAACTGGAGCTCAGAAAAAAAATACTTTGTTAATTCTTCTTTAATTTTATGTCTTTTTAATGTCCAATATGAGTTTATTTACTAATATACCTGCACGCAGGGAGAGGGCGGGATATACATGTACCCGGTAAGGTTTTAGCACTGTCAACAACCTTACATAGGCGATGGAACAGATGATTTGGGGCCTCTTATTTATACTAAAAACATGCATAACATCGATCTTTATCCCTCTCTCACTTTTAACACAAAAAGTACTGTAATATTACTTAAAAGAAGGTAACACCTTCTTCTCCATTTTAACGTAACTCATATAACTTAAATTGTATGATAATATATAAATTTTAACTGTCAAGAAAACACCTCCCCGCTATATATACACCTTCCAGTATAAATAAATAGTTTTTCCTAGCTAAAGAACATACGTGTATATGCGTGTGCATATCAAAAAGCAAAATCAAATTGATACACTGTTCAGCGAAATTACCCCCACCCACCCACGTTTCTAATATGCAACACCCATGTTATGAATATCAACTGCATTTAATGACTAATGAAATCATTATATGATAAAATCAGTTCTAAGTAAGAATTAGTATACGTTTGTTTTTCCTTTTGTTTTCTTTCTTTCTTTTTTTTTTTTGATCCACTACTTAATTGAAAACTGACCAAAATGTGTATTATAACATTTTGCGATGCTGCATTTTGCTTAATCTCGACGCAAATTATAACAACGCAAAATGTAATAATTTAAAAAATATGTTATTATATTTTACGTTATTACATTTTGCATTGATCTCGAAGCAAAATGTAATCATCCCAGTTTATTACATTTTGCTTTGTTATTACATTTCGCTTTGTAACAATGCATTCATATCTTGTGTTTATTCTTCACTAAATTCCCGTCTACTCTAGTTATTTCTAATGACTAAACTTAATCGTCTTTGAAGATAATGGTTGGCACTTCATGTTGAAAATGGAAAACTAAAAAGAACCTTTGCATAGTATATACAGGGTCCTTAAGACTTAGTCCTAGGGTAAACTGACTGTCATTGAATATAGAACTTTCTTTATTCAGCATGTCAAGCCATGGTGTTTTAGCCATTGAAATGAAAGATGGCATAGGTCACTAAGATAAGCTGAAAATCGCAGCCTCTTCAAGTGGTGTAAAAAAAGAGAAAATATGGGAAATGATAAGAAACTATGAAGACAGGAGATCAAATTCTAGGACTATTTAATATAGATATAGTGAATGCACACAAAGGAAAAAGTACAACTTTGCAGCGTTCCACTGATAACTGGAGGGGTTTTAACTTTAGAGAGTTTTTTTTTTCAGATGGACTGAAACAAATATTATAATAATTTATTTTATTTAATCAAATAAAAATCTGTAATATGACAAATGTTGAACTACAAAAAGTCGGAATTCGTAATCTTCTAGGCATAAAAAGCATTAGAACTCCTTCGTTTTGAATTAAAACAACAACAACAACAAAATAAAAAAAATTAAAAAAAACAAACAGAATTTCAAGGCTTGTTCTTTGAGATCCTTTAAATAATGAAAGACAACAATATCCCTAATGCAATAGCAAGAATGAAAATACATTGTAAAACGAAAAGAAAAACTTAGTATAAAGTAATGTTAAGCAATCAATCTACACACAAAAAACCCTGACGAACTAAAACCACTACAATTGCCACTAACTAACACAGTGATACATGGTTAAATCTCAGGGACTTCAAGCTCAAAGTCCTTTTAAACAATACAAATCGGGAGCAGAGCAAACACGGACATCCAAAAACATCAGAGGTGGGATCAGATGCCTTGGAGGAGTTAGCACCCTCTGCCGAACGGTCACACCCGCCCGTACAGTTAGTATGAAAAACGTCAGTCAGCATTTGATGTAATGATAGGTTGTATTTAAACGTTACTACCTATATAGGTTATGGGTAAAGGTTAACCTTTGTTTTTATTTTATGGGAACTTTAGTCTGAATATAACCTTTCTTGCTGAATTATTTTTGTGTATTGTTTAACGTCCCTCTCGAGAATTTTTCACTCATATGGAGACGACACCACTTGCCGGTGGAGATATATAGATAGATAGATAGATAGACATTAAATTTTTTTTCCCTTTATCATGCATATTTAAACAAGAAACTTGTAGACTCGCAGATAAGAAAACGAAAAAAAGTAATAATTATAATACTTATAATATTCAATCATTTCAGCTCCAATGCCTTGATCAGCTTATTCCAATCACAATCATCTACTGCATCCAAGTATGTTATAGTCTTAAGGCTTGGGTGCATACCATTAATGGTACGGCATATTGGGATCACTAAATTTTCCGATTTTCCATCGTTCATTCTATGGAGAGCATGAGCCAACTCATAGTTACATTCAGGATAGTCTTCAAACTCTGTGCGCAAAACTACGAGTATCTTAGGGCAGTTCTGAATGAAGGATATGCGTTCAAATAAATCCTTCGAACCTGGAATGGTATCCCTTTCCGCTACGGCGCCTTTATATCCATATGATACTTCTAGAGTTTGCAATAATACGTGACAAACCCAATCTCTGTCAAGTGGTGAAAATATGACGTAGAAATCGTACGGATATCGTATACTTCGAGGTTTTTCGGGCGGCACAGGAAAAGCAGAGAGTTGTCTCCTATATCCGACCCGCGATTTACATTTAAAACAGAGAGTTACGCCCTCTGCATTTTCCGACGACTTTCTTGATTTCTCTCGGGCGTCAAAATGTGTTGAATTTTTCTCTACCATCTCATTCCATTTTTCAATATTTTCAGGCTCAACTGTTGAAGTTATCAGTTCGGATATACTTTTTTCGTTGATTTGCATCGAAGAATCATTTCTGTAATGCTGAAAGTATGCTGTCAGATCTGACATTTCTACTTCATAATCTTTAAGAAACCTTTTGGTTTCATGTGTCAATTGCTCATGCTTTCGTAACGCCACATCGTAGAAGTAGGCCATTTCATGCAATAATTTATAGATTTCACTTTCATTTTTGCCTAATAGAATAGAGTTTTTATAGAGCTGAAGAAGTGTTTCAAATAATTGAGTAAAGCTTGCCGTTGCTCTGTTAGCGGTGTCTACCTCTATCGCTCTTTTAAAACATTCTATAGCTTCTCTAACTTCTCCTATTTCGCGTAAGAATATTCCATAAGCACGATGCACTTCTGGTCTTTTCTCCTGTCTAAGGCTTTGAACTGCTCGTAGAAAACATCCAGAGGCTTTCAAAAGAAATTCATTTGCCATTTCTTCATTTGTTGCTTTGCATGACTTGTATTTCTCTTGGTATGATTTAGCCAATTCACAAAGATGGTGAGAAGTTGCATTCCATGAACATGCTATTTCCCTATCCTTAATTGCTTCGTCTATTTTCCCTAATTTGAATAAAATATCTGCTCTTACTGTCCAAGCAAACCAGTTTCCTTCGCTATCATCAATCTCCAAAGACTGGTTAATTTTTTCCAAAGCTTCTTCATACCTCTCTTTAAATTTTAGGAACATTGCGTATCGAATTAAAAGTTCTGCGGATGGTTTTGATTTTTCGCATGATTCTTCATTTGCACTGATAACGCACTCAAGACCATTTTTAAAACAATCTTCAGGGGTTTCTAAATACTCAAACAGATCCAGTTTCTTTAAATGGTCTTTGATGTCATCGTCCATTTGCTCAATGATTTTTACTTTCCATTTTCCAGACTCATCCCTAATTGTTCCTCTTCTGGACAGGAAAAGACCAAGAAAAGCCCATGCTGTGGAAACAAACTCCTTCGTAAACTCGCCCTGTTTTCTTAATCCCGTAACTTTTACCAATGCTTCGATTCCCTTCATATAAAATTCTTTTGCCATTGCCTCCGTTCCCTTTCTTCTTGCACACTGTGTAAGTAGGCTGTAGTATGTCTTACCCAACCAATAGTTTATCTCCATGACAATGTCTTGTCGGTCACTTTTTTGAAGCTTTACCAGACTTTGAACAAGGAGATCTTTGGGTACTTTATTCCTTTCCAGAACATCTTTTTCTACATGACAATCAAAGATAAATGCAAAAGCTTGATCTGCTAGCGCAATCCCTTGTCTTTCGACTTCGTTTGATCCAAGTTCAAATGAATACTTTTGGGAATTGGAACTTAGTTTTAATCTCTGATAAACAAAAGCGTGATTTGCAGAGGCGGTTACGGAATTCGGATCGATTTTAAGAACCTCTTGAAATGTCTCAACAGCTTTCAAGTACTCATTGTTGTAGAAATAGCACACTCCAAGTAAATTTCTAGATGCTTGACGTGAAAATCCTTCTGGAAATTTCCGGATTAACTTTTCCATAACTTTTATTCTGTGTGTCAGTAGTTGGGCTGGTGGATTCTGTGAGGCATTCAAAGATATATGAAAAAGTCCAGGTCTTTCTCCATATTTTCTCCATATGTCCTTGGTATCGTAATCCATTACTAAAATTAAAAACAAAAAATTCAATTCTACATTCCTTTCGACCCCCCCCCCCTTCGATTTTTTATTGCAGAAGTAAGATTTTCTTCAAGTCTTTCTGGTTGAAATAATAAGTGATTAATATTATACTTTTGCATGGATATATTATGGAATATTAACTTCTTGATAAATAACTATTATTGCAACACACAAGTACATCATATTCTACATTTTTATTTTCTATGTGACTTATATGAATAACACATGGAACACAAACAGGCAACTTTTTAAACATTTTGTTTGAATATTAAATACATTTGTACGGTGTTTTCTGAGTTTTGAGTGTCTATCTACCGAGTGTTTGTTAATACTTGCTCATCAAATTGACTGAGAGACAACGCTTTTAAAGCAGGTTTTTGGCGGATTGCAAGCTAGCGATTTGTTAACGGCATCATCACCAAGAAAACGGTATTGCTGAGATAGAGCTGTCAAAACCCACAATTCATTCATTGTAGTTAAGAGAAAAGAACTAGTTTGGCTCCTTAAAAAATTTGGCCAGGAGGCAGCTGACCCCTAAATATTAGAGGACACTTTGAGGTCTGAGACACTATCTGTATCTATTTTTAATTTCAGTGTAAGATCGTTAAAACAATTTAATTGCTAATCCTCCTAAAGTTTTAGCGCGACTTCTGTGAATTGTTACTTTTATGTATTATTAAATAAACATGTATCATCATACTTATATCATTAGTGTGGCATTTGATGTTGCCATGTTACTGAAAAATATGAACAGGTTGTTGATATCTTTCAAAATGCTACTCTTACAGTTCTCTATTGTTTTGAAAAGGTTTATAAACCCCAATGATACTTGTCTAAGACAATAATTTCAATGTTTTAAGTGATTTTAGGACCTACTGCTAAATATATCTTCTGAATTTTCGTGTCTGAAATTCTGCAGAAATACAAAACAAATACCGAATAGCAGGAAGATGTATATGTCAGCAGAGTGAAAAAATAAAAAAAAAAAGTGCAGAAGATTCCTGATCGAAATAAGAAATACGTTTCACCAACTGTCAGACAAGGACAACACAGTTGACGAAAAATGGAACCATGTGAAAGACATATACTTAAAGGAACAACAGAAAAAAATGTTAGGAGAAAGAAGAAACACAAAGACTAACTACTAGAGAGTATAAGAAAAACAGAATACAAAGCAAAGGAGAGTGTTTAAGACAAGAACTAAAGCTGAGGAAGGAGAAACCTAGAAAAAAATATCGTGCATGCAGAAAATACAGCCAAAATAAAAACATCTTAGGGAAGTGTAGCAACTGACTAAACACTTCTTTGGAAAGAAAACAAGTTTCATACCAAGAATGATGAGCTTCTCCTTAAATACGAAAAGATAAAAGGTAGATGACGGTCACACTTTGAAGGAGTTCTTAACATCCCTACAACTTCCTGAAGAATGTATCATTCAAAAAAGATACATGGCCAATTACAAAAGACGAAATTAAGAATTAAAGCCATCTTTTAAATGAAAAATGGAGTAAACTTAACGCAGAATTATTAAACAAAATATAACATCTACATCATCAAATTGAGAGAATTGTTCAACTGAATCATCAGTGAATAGAATGATGCCACTAGACTATGAAAGAGCACATTGTAAAAATACCAAAGGAAGGGAACCTACATGTTACTAGATGTGACAACAGGGTAGGAATATCCCTACTATCAGTACCATCCAGAGTGTTTTTCAAAATAGCGATAGACAGAATAAGAGATGGAATAGAAGATAGCAAAAAAAGAATACAAAGCAAAGGATAGAGTTTTAAGACAAGAGCTAAAGCTGAGGAAGGAGAAACCTAGAAAAATTAGCGTGCATGCAGGAAATGAACTTAGGAGCGGGAGAGGAACTTCAGAACATACAAGGAAACATATTGAAACGGTCAATAGAGTGGCAAGCACCATTATACATAAGGTTTTATAGGTAGCATAATAAGGGAAAGCTGTGAGATAAACTAAGGCAGTATGGGATTCCTGAAGTATATGTAAATATCATCAAGAAAATATATGATGGAAGCACTAGCAATGTAGAAGAAAACGGGATAACAACAAACTGGTTTGAAGTACAGACAGAAATGCATGAGATAGGGGTTTGTTATGTCTGGTTTCCTTTTCATCATTGTGGTAGACTGTATAATGAGAAACACTAACAAAAGAGGAATGAATACATGTAGCTGGAAAAAGCCTACCCCGGTCAATTTGGCACTGATATCCAGCAAATATAGTGGCATGCAAGAAAAGACTGGCAGACTAAATTTTATCGCAAAATATACTGCACTCAAACTAAACGTGAGTTAGACGAAAAGAGTGAAGATCAATAGAAAAGAAATTGATGTCATCACCCTGAATAACAAAGGACATGAGGATCAGAAGCAGGCATAAGGAGAGGGTTAGGTTTAGTCAGAATTGCATTTTCATCCCTGAAAGAAGTGTGGAAGTCAACAGAGTACAACACAAGAACCAAACTGAAAATCTTCATATCAAATCCATATTGCTGTATTGTTCTATACTAGAATCTACTATGGTGAATGGTTTAATGCATTCCAACGTAAATTCCTTCGGAGAAATTCCCTTAGATACCTGGTCAGACAAGACCTCAAATCCACAATCATATAAAAGAACAAAAACATTCCCATTATCTACAACAAGCAAAGTACAGCGATGGAACTGGAGAGGCCGTATTCTCCGAAGATACATTAATTCTACGTGAGAATCGTTTTAATAAGAGTCCCTGTAGGAAAAAGAAAGAGAGGAAGAACACCTTGAGGTGCAAGAGAGAGAGAATGCAATGGAACAGATTGAGGGGAGCACAGGGTTATTGACCTTGTGGCCTTGGACTTGACCTACAACCTGCTTTTTTAAATATTTCAAGTAATATACTCAAGTTTGAACTATTAAGTACATGTACTGTTTATTATAAGATACATGAATTTTGTTGAAAAATCCATGTACTAGTGTTACATTCCACTTAACTTTGACCATCCATATACATTTTATTAAAATGCTCCGAAGTTTTATTTCAATTTTTGAGGTAAGACTTTTATAACTGGCGTATTTATCGCATATTTATGACGTCAAGACTACTACTCTAACAGTCTTATACTATTCAAAGAATTTCCTCTTTGTTTTAAATGTGTGTAAAATCATTGCTAAAAGCTTCAAAATTAACAACAGAAAGATATTTTCAAAGATTACAGATCATAAAAACTATGTACATGTACTATCCATACCAAGAAGTATAAAAACTATCTCAAGATAAGCAATAGACAAAATGGCGGGTCTCTAAAAGAAAAGCCCTCACGTCAAATAACATTTCATGTCATGTCATGCCGCCGTATATATGATGAAATTATCAACAAATAATTTTAAGTACTTACTATAATCATAGCAATAACAATGAAAATCTCTCTGTAGACCAGAAAATACTTCATGTAGCACACGGTACGTACGTCCTCAACATTAACAGAAAACTGTAAGTCAGCTAAAAATAATTTTCAACTGCACAATTTTCAAATGCACCTTCTCGTAAAAAAACACGTGGTATGTTGATTTAAACAAAAATGAAAATTAAGGAGGAAGAAAACTAACAACCGAGTTTCAGTTTTCTCTTTGAGGGGAAATCCAATAACAACGTCAGTAAGTTTTGAAATGCGGTTGTCTCGCTTGCATTGTATCACACAACAAGTTGAAGTGGACCAAAGGCATGTGTTTCTAACATAAAATCAGAAAAATTCTGGATAGAAGTGAAATTAAAACTGTTATTCGTTTTAGTGTATTTGACAACAGATAACTTTTCTTTCTGGACAATTTATTAGCTGAAATAATAAGAAACATACTCTGAATCTGGTTATTATCTAGGTTATGTGGGTTATAATTTTCATAGATATATTTGCATATATATTGGAGAAACTATGATTGTAACATGCTTATGGAAAAAATAACACCAATATAACACAGAAATATCTGATCCTTTTGTTGTAACATCTAAATAATAAAATATGTTCAAATCAACACAGAAATAACTCAGATATTTTTGTAAGCTTTTGTCCAGGAATTTTAGAAGTACTATTTTACAACCCTAGCATATAAAGTTGAAGTACCATCATGTAATGAAGAATTATCAGAATATAGAAAACAAAGTATTAGCATACAATGACAAAGTGTCAGCATACAATGACAAAGTATTAGCATACAATGACAAAGTGTCAGCATACAATGACAAAGTATTAGCATACAATGACAAAGTGTCAGCATACAATGACAAAGTATCGGCATATAATGAGGTTTCAAATAAGGAGGTTTCAACACATAAATGACATGTCCATATAAGACAGTTGAGGCTGAACCTTACATCTGTCCTCTGCAACAGCCTATTTTATCGAAAGAAAATACATGTATGTAAATCTAGGCACAACTAGCATAACAATTCCCTCTTTTCGATAAAAATTCAAGGTTTATTCTTTGAAATCTTTCAACCTTGAGATTTATGAATAAGAAAGACAATATTATTCCAAATACAATGGCAAGAAATAAAAATTGATTGCAAAACAAAGTGTATAAAATTAAAAATAAAAAAATGTTAATATACCACCATTCTACATGAAAATACCCATGCCTAGTATATATATGCATTTTTGACATTACGTTATAAATTTATCTCAGGGCTTCATCGTTTAGAAAAATGACACATTTCAGCATAACGGAGTAAGGAGTTGATCCTTACGTCGCGGGTTCGAATCCCACCGTGGGACGTGGAGACCGGTCCTTCAGATGAGACGTATAAACCGAGGTCCCGTGTCGCAGTAGGTGCTGGCATGAAAAAGATCCCAAACTACTCAATGGCCCTGAGTGCCGAGTATAGGTCAAAATTTGCAGCACTCCACCGGAAAGTGGTGGCGTCACCATATGACTGAAAAATTCTCGAGAGGGACGTTAAACAACAAACAAACAAACATTTCAGCATAAAAATAGACTATAAAATAAGTATAATTTATTGAAAAGTACAGCGTACTATTTGCGTAATACCGTTATACTTTTGAACAATATATACATTCATTTGTAAATCGCCTTGCTGCTGGTGCTTTGATAGAATCTAGAAAAATGCATACTGTCCAAGATAGCTTAATTACATAACGGTAAGTCTCAGCAATTATCTTCTACACCGGTATTTAACTTAAACAGTCTCCTATCGTGATCTCGTGTAGTAATCTTTGTCCTTTTTGCTTCACAAAAATCATATGCTGACATAACAGCAAAGTAACGAACTTCTAGATGTCTACTTCTTACCCTTTACATGCCATACTTGTGTGAATACTACTTTGAATTCAACTATTGAAAATGATTATATTGCAATTTTCTGTTCAACAGTACATTGTCAATTTGATTGAATTGAAAATTAAATGTTTTTATCTTGTGTGTATTTGGATTGATGTGAATCAGAAATATTACCTTGTCTACTGAATTAAACTAATTTCTTGTAGGATGGTGTGTTTGAGAGAGAGAAGTCAATGAATTCTCCAGACAGTAGAGCCAGCTTTTCTCAGATGCAAGTCCCTTATCATGTATGTTAAAAAAGAGGGGGAAGCAGACTAGTAGATGTTTAAAACTAGTATGAAGTAATATTACTATCAATCATTTCAGCTCCAATGCCTTGATCAGCTTATTCCAATCACAATCATCTACTGCATCCAAGTACGTTATAGTCTTAAGGCTTGGGTGCATACCATTAATGGTACGACATATTGGGATCACTAAATTTTCCGATTTTCCATCGTTCATTCTGTGGAGAGCATGAGCCAACTCATAGTTACATTCAGGATAGTCTTCAAACTCTGTGCGCAACACTACAAGTATCTTGGGACAGTTCTGAATAAAGGATGTGCGTTTAAATATATCCATGGAACCTGGAATCGTATCTCTCTCCGCTACGGCGCCTTTATATCCATATGATACTTCTAGAGTTTGCAACAACACGTGACAAACCCAATCTCTGTCAAGTGGAGAAAATATCACGTAGAAATCGTATGGGTATCTTATATTTCGGGGTCTTTCGGGCGGCACAGGAAAAGCCGAGAGTTGTCTCCTATATCCGAGCTGACATTTACATTTAGAACAAAAAGTAACTCCCTCTTCATTTCTTTCAGACTTCTTTGACTTCTCTCGGGTTTCAAATTGTGCTGAATTTTTCTCTACCATCTCTTTCCATACGTCAATGTTTTCAGGCTCAACTGCTGAAGTAATAATTTCGGATATGCTTTTATCGTTGATATGAAATGAAGAATTATTTCTGTAATATTGAAAGTAAGCTGTCAAAACAGACATTTCCACATGAAAGTCTTTCAAAAACGTTTTGGTTTCATTTATTAATTGACCATGCGTTCGTAACGCCACGTCATAAAAATAGGCCATTTCATGCAATAACTTGTTTATTTCACTTTCATCTTTATTGTCCGATAAAACAGAGCTTTGATAGAATTGAAGAAGTGTTTCAAATAATTGAATAAAGCTTTGTGTTGCTTTGTTGGCAGTATCAATCTCCATTGCTCTCTTAAAACATTCTATAGCTTCTCTGACTTCTCCTATTTCGCGTAAGAATCTGCCGTAAGCACGATGCACTTCTGGTCTTTTCTGCTGTCTAAGGCTTTCTACCGCTTGAAGAAAACATCCAGAGGCTTTCAAAAGAAATTCATCTGCCATTTTTTCATCTGTTGTTTTGTATGACTTGTATTTCTCTTGGTATGCTTTGGCCAGTTCACAAAGATCTTGGGTACTTGCATTCCAAGAGCACGCTATTTCCTTATCTTTGATTGCTTCATCTATTCGATCTAATTTGAATAAAATATCTGCTCTTACTGTCCAAGCAAACCAGTTTCCCTGGCTTTTATCAATCTCCAAAGATTCGTCAATTTTCTCTAAAGCTTCTTTATATCTCCTTTTAGATTTTAGAAAAATTGCGTATCGAATTAATAGTTCAGTAGAGAGTTTTGATTCTTTGAACGGTTCTTCGTTTGCTTCTATACCACACTGAAGACCCTTTTTAAAGCAATCTTCAGGATTTTCTAAAAACTGAATTAGACCTAATTCCTTCAAATGGTGTTTGATGTCATCGTCCATTTGCTCAATGGTTTTCTCTGTCGATTTTCCATTCTCGTCCCTAATTGTTCCTCTTCTTGATAGGAAAAGACCAAGAAAAGCCCATGCTGGGGATACATATGTCTTTGTAAAGTCGTCATCCTTTCTAAATCTGGTAACTTTTGCTAATGCTTTAACACCTTTCATATAAAATTCTTTTGCTTTTTCTTCCGTTCCTTTTTGTCTTGGACACTGTGTGAGGAGGCGGTAATATGTCTGACCTAACCAAAAGTTCACCTCCATGACGAGATCTTTTCGGTCACTCTTTTGAAGCTTTACCAGACTTTGAACGAGGAGATCTTTTGGTACTTTATTCCTTTCCATTACATCTTTTTCTACATGACAATCAAAGATGAATGCAAAAGCTTGATCTGCTAGCGCAATCCCTTGTCTTTCATCATCGTTTGATGCAAGTTCAGTTGAATACTTTTCCGCCTTGGAAGGTTGCTTCAATCTCCGATAGACAAATGCAAGATTTGCTGAGGCAGTTAGTGAATTCGGATCGATTTTAAGAACCTCTTGAAATGTTTCAACAGCTTTTAAGTATTGGTTATTGTAGAAATAGAATGTTCCAAGTAAGTTTCTAGACGCTTGACCTGAAAATCCTTCTGAGAAGTCCCGGATTAACTTCTCCATAACTTTGATCCTATGTGTCAGTTGCTGTGCTGGTGGATTTTGTGAGGCGTTCAATGATATATGAAAAAGTCCAGGTCTTTCTCCATATTTCCTCAAGATGTCTGTTGGATCGTAATCCATCACTAAAATTGTAAATTATTTTATTAAAATTCTTCATTATTTTTATCCCTTCCTTTTGAGATAATTACAGAAGTAAGATTTTCTTTCAAAACTCTTAGTTGGCGTGTTTATACATAGATATCCAAGTAAGATTAATTTAAAAAAAAAAGATATTTTTTTTTTTTTTTTTTTTTTACAAATTTCTTCCACTATTCCACCTGCACTTTTGTATGATTTCTGTGGAATATTGCGTTAGTGTGCAGATGAACAATTCTCTATAGTAGAAATTAAGCGAAAATAAAGTTAAACGTATAAAAAGTTATTTAAAGCATCACTTCCATCTTACAGAGGTAATTAATACAACTTACATTTTTATTATACACATTTAATTTCAATGTGACGCGTAGGATTTTCCCTGTGGAAATTCTGCTCTAGAGCAGGACTTCTACCCCCGGAGGTGGGGGAATCCTACTCTAGAGTATAGAATTTGCGGGGGTCCTACTCTATAACACCGTTATGACATCTACAATAACAAATGACAACAGTCAGGATGATGATTTCTTTCAAAATGTTACTCCCACCGTTTTCTGCGCATGCTTTAAATAAGACTTGGTGAAAGATTTAGGTGGTATCATAAATCTAGATACATACTTTAGATCATGCTTTCAATATCAATGAACACTTGTGACACAAGTACTACATCTTTTTTTTTAATATAAAATTTCATAATGCTACTTCTTAATACGGTTAAAAATGTACAAATCGTATTTCAAATTAAGTGAAATTTATAAGATTGCTTATATCTTGTGTATTTCAATGGTAAGTATTTTCTGTTTTTGATTCTGAAAGAGGTATTTTAAAATGATAAGAATAACATTTTTAATACTTTTAAATTCTTTTTCAAACTTGCAAGAGAAACTACTTATGCAAAATAAATTTAGGGGCTACAATCTGAGAACACTGGTATACTACAGAAGTCTTAAAAATATTTTTAGACTAAAAAACTTCTGCAATGTACATGTAAAAACACTCGCATTAAAGCTAGACATAATGAATTTTAGTATTTCAAAGCTTCCAACTATAAGGCTAAATAACTTCCTTATTAAAGATACTTATTTTTCTTGCCTTATTCAGGAAACGATCATAACATAATACCCTCATTCTGTAATGTCCACTGTTGTATCGGCCTTTTTTTATTAGAATAATTTTTTTTTCAACATGTTCAACTTTTGCATTTTCCTTCGAACTTACAAGATAAGAATAATTCTAGACTGAAAAAAAAACTTCTACAATGTGGAAACTCTTTGCCCCAGAACCATCCTCGCAAGCCAGGAGTCCTGAGTCAACACGTCGGCGTTGGACCTCTGGCATGTTGAATGAAATATGCCAGGGGTCCAACGGCAAAGTGTTGACTCAGGACCCCTGGCTTGCGAGGATGCCTCAGAACTAGACATTGAATTTTAACATTTCTAAGCCGCCATATATATGGTTAATTAACTTCCTTATTAAAGTTACTTACTTTTCCGCGTGCCTTAAGACTCAGGAAACGATCATAACGTAATATCCTCGTTCTGTGATGTTCAGAGAATCCTTCACGTTAATTAGCACATATATTTGTACATGTCCTCAAAACTTGACCAGAGAGAGGTGAAAGTCATCATTTCGATGCACGAATACTTTAGCTTAACACTCTCTACCATCGGCTCATACATTGTCTGAGAGAGCAACGACGACAACTCTTCAAGGGAGATTGTCAGCTTAACTGCGCACTTTTGTGTAAAACATAAACACATGCTGTGTTGATTATAAGAAATGAAAATATTAGAAATCCTTTTCGGCAGCCGAGAACTGTTTTCTATTTTCTTTTTTGGGCGGAAAATCCAATAACTTGACGTCAGCTACTCTAATGAGGTTGTCTCGCTTGTGATGATATAAATCCAAGACCTCAACTCCCAACCTTGTCTGAAATGCATATAATGTCATGTGTCACTCAAACTGACCTTAAAGGTTCATGGGCTAATAAGATTACAAAATGCAGCTGAACAAAATATATGGTAGAAAACCGTATAAAGTACGGAAGCGTATTAGGGCCGCAGCAGCACCTTTGATTTGAACATATTTTATTGCAATAAATATATACAATGGGATTGGGCACAAGTTCTAAAAACTTAATTCGCCCTCTCCCTACATGTTATATCACAAAAATTCAATCAGACGTGTCCAACAGCATGTACAAAGTAAATTAACTCACAACATAGAAACATATACTGCTAAATTATTATCTATACACATTTTTAGAAAAATCAATTAAATCTGCCTGAATGCTGAATATAAGATTGAACAATAGAGAAGAGATATTCATTTTCAGCAATACTGAGTGAGGTATCCCCCCAGAGTAAAGTATGAGTGTCAACAATATGAACTTTATTAAATCTCAAAAACTTATCGAAGAAATCTTTCCTGGCCTCAGTGTAATTAGGACCAGTGTGTGTATTTGATCATTTTTAGGACCTGGATTTATTTCAATGTCTCCTGACAAAAGATGTAAGAAAAAAAGAATTTGAAACCAAAATTGTAGATGTAAAATGTTTTGTTGAAAAATACTGCATATTTGTAGTTGTTTAAAGCTTAAAAAAAAAAAAAAAAAAAAAAAAAAAAAAAAAAAAGCAGCACCTTTATCAATTTGTTATAACAAATTGGTAATTTGATATATCAAATTAATAATGATAAATCTGATATAACAAATTTGTGATTTGATGTAGCTAATTATTTAATTTTTTATGAAGAATTACTACTTTTTATTATTTATCTTTATTAAATATTTTATTTATTTATTTATTTATTTATTTATTTATTTATTTATTTATATTTATATATATTTTTTGACAAAATTTGAAATTGTGTACAGATCAAAAAAATGTTTGCAAATAAAACGTCATTGTCAAAGAAAACGTTAAAAACACGTTTATTTTACGTGGTCTACTGCACTGAATATGAAGATCTCTGTTTCTATGATAAATTATCAAATTTAATATCATTTATTTTCTATAATGCAACCCTGATAAAAGGTGCAGTCACAAACTTTAAATTGAATAGGTGAGGATTTGTCTCTCTGTTTGGCGACAAAATTTTTGACAAAAAATTTGGAGAAGACCTTAAATTTGATAAGCAACCAGACCCCTTCTCACGCCCCTCCCTCCCCCTTTCTCAGTCCGTGTAACGTTTATAAAATGATTCAGAGTTTTAGAATTTTAATATATTAGTTCAAATTTCTAAATTTCAAAAACTCAAACTTTCGTTTATTGAAATTTAATATATTTAGTTCAAAAATCTAAATTTTGAAATTTCCAAACAGATTTTAAAATTTTATTTTATTTTATTTTATTTATTTATTTATTTATTTATTTATTTATTTATTTATTTATTTATTTATTTATTTATTTATTTATTTATTTATTTTTAGATTTTTGCCTTAAATATTCAAAATTCAAATTTCCAAAACCGAATTTTGATTTTAAACTTCTGAGTTTTTAATTTATTGTTTGTTCAGGTTTTTAACAATTAAACTGGGAAATGCCTATGGTTTGATAACGAATATCTCGTTATCTATGCCGATTGTACAGAATTCTCTCTCTCTCTCTCTCTCTCTCTCTGAATGGGCTCGATAACAGAATGAGTTGTCTCCCGTGACGGATTGTCAGTTTACCTGTGTTGTACCATACGTAAACAAGGTGCGATAGAGCGTCGCGGTGTCACACTACATGTGTTACCTTGCCAAGTAGTGTATTGTTTTCGCTTTCCTTCAGCTTGATTCGTTTGGAGAATTTAATATCATTCTGTTTTCTTTGCTTCTTGTGATAGAATTCGCTGGAAATACGTTTATTAATCGTGTGATGTATGGAGTCCTCAAAAAATAAGATGAAATTTATTTGACAAAATGGCGGACAGGTATTTACCTGTGTAAAAAGACATTTACACGATTGTATTGGTAATCGTCATGTAAAAAAGAGAAAAGGAATTTTATCTCGAATTGCTTCGGTTTGTCATGTGTATGTCTTATTTTGGATGTCTACTAAATGAAAACCTATTGAATGAATCGAGCGGAGCCCCGAACCCCGGGCCCTCCACGGCAAAGCGGAGGCAAACATCAGGTACAGTAATTAACGAAATGATAAATTACACGTGCATCTCATTAAGCTACAATTTACCAGAAACGTAAATATTGTTTGTTATTTAATCAAGTAACACGTTTAAATACTTGTTGATAAGTGAAGTCAGTTTCAATATATGACTTTTTTATTTGTTAAAAAGGTAAAACTGGGGTGTAAATTGGCCGTAAATTAGTCACTGCATTAACAGGTAGGGCTATTTATAACGGTGCCAGTAGCACGTTAATTGTCTTCAGCGTCTACCTGTTCTTTTTACAGTCAAAAAAGGCCCAGTAGGTCTCTCTGAGGAAATGATTTTTAATAAAACATTAACACATAGGTGTTACATAGTAGTCTGTTATTGTGTTACTGTTAGAAGAAAACGTGTCAGTAATATCAAACAAACAATTAAATTTGCAAACCACTAATTTCATTAACAAGGCAATAAAATCAAGAGAAATGTTAATTTTCCCCATGATTATACATGAATTTGATTATATACGGTGCAGAAAAGTGAAGTTGGAGGGAGATATTTTAGACATTGAAAAGAAATTAGTAAAATAATTTTTGATTCAGTGTTTTTAATATATTTAATAATTTATAATTATTAGAAGGTTTTATGATATAAAGTAGAAAAATAACTTCTATAGTGTACATATTAAATTTTCTTTCTTAATATTGAAATACTTATTTTCATTTGTGGGAAAAATTGTTGTGCTAATAATGTGCAGAAGGAATAGATCCTTGTTTTAAAAAAAAAAGTTTTACTTTTAAAAACAAATTATTGAGAAGTACGTGGAATAAACATTTGTACGGTTTATTCTTTCTTTGCACTTTGTTTTAAAGGTTTTTTCTTCTCCATGAGGAATAGCATAGAAATGTACATAAAGTCTAAAACCTATGTAAAAAAGATTAACTTCCTCCCAAACACCCCATACAAATTAATTTTCCTGAAACCCTATTAAATGAGTAAATTTTTCCCAGATGAAAATGTTTACTCTCACTCTTACTACCAAGAAATGATAATTTTTTTTTGGGGGGGGGGGGGGGCAGGAGGAGGATCAAAGGAGGGAAGGGGGAGAGAGCAGTATTTTGACATTTAATATACAAATATCAGGGTAGTCTGTTGTTGCTGGCTGCAGAACTGTAGTTCTCTGGAAAATAAAATTCAGACAGGCATACATATACCAGAGTATTGTATGTTTACTTATATGGTCTGGTATGCCTGAGTGCTGTTCCATATTTATTTCCCACAGATAGACAGAGCTACACTTTTGCATCAAGTATGTTGTATCATATGCACAATTGCATCATGTTACATTTGCTGAATGGCTTTGACAATTAAAATGCAAACTGAATGCAGCCAATAACAGAAATCTAAAAGGTTGGTCACAATTCCCTTCTATTGTGCCCAACCTGTCTAATTACATGGGTTTGGATATATATGCTGCAATTTGTGTGAGGATTTGTGTTTAAAATTTTCAAGTGCTCTGAAGAAATAAGGACATTTGGAAGGGGGAAATGGTCATACAAAATGGAAAGCTTCATCATTGCTAGTTTGTTTTAAAGTATGTGTGTGAAGGAGAGGGGAAAGGCTAAAGGATGGGGGTTGGGGTTGAAATGTGCATTAATTCCTTCATAATTAATTTCTCTACTCTAATTCAAATAAAGAAGATATTTATGGTAAGCATGGAAGTAAGGAAGTTTATATTGTTTAACATCAATTCAAGCTTATTTTCCCATTCTATTCAGGAAAGCAGTTTCAAACCTTGATGCTGAATATTGATTTAATCATGATTAAAAATATTGTAATGAAATTTAAGGAGAAGCATTTAATGCAGCTTCAATCTTTTCTAGTAGTGAAACCATTCTCAGTGGTATTGATTCACCAAGGCATTTTTTGTCAGTATGGTACACTATACAGAATCTCCATTTTTGGTTTGGTACATTTATTGGTTGAGATTGTTATTCAGCTAGATTGGGCATTTGTAAAATCATGTTACACAGCATTATTAAATTTTAAAAATGGGATTTTTATGGCTAATAATTTGTGGAATAATCATTAGCAATCAATTCATTCTAATCATTTTTTTTCTAGTCAATTTGAACATCGATTAAGTTTCTGGTTTAGTGAAACAAAACAAAAAACAACTTTGAATTTGTTTCTTTCAGTCAAAATGTATCCAAAATAATCGTACCAATTATATGATATACGATATATATTGTATCGCGAAGATGTATTATTTTCACCCCTAATCTTTTAGTTCTGTATTCATTGAATGACTTTGAAGCTGATCTTCATTAGAATTTAGAGTTGAGGTTTTAATTAGTCGGATGTATTTTTATTTTTAAAAGGATATTGATTTTGTCAGATGGCTCAGTGTTAATTATGCTTCTAATTAAATTTTGTATTTTTGCCATATATTTATAGCTAGGGGAAGCAATTAAAACTTTAATTGTCAAAATGCTTAAAAGTATTACAACCTTAGAAGAAACTGTTGTAAAGTAGCCGGGCTTTTGTTTGGACATTTTCTTGCTGCACTCTCACACATAGGTTC